TAAAAAATAGCAACACCTTTTAATTTACAAAACAAACCTGTAAATGAAAAGGTTTTGCTCATTTTTTTAGAAATAGTTATTTTAAATTTTGATAAAATATCCAAAAATTGGAAATTGGAATAATCATAAAGAAATTAAAAATTGTAGAAATAAAACATTTAAAAGGAAGAAAAATATTTCAAAAAAACTATTTCCTCCGTCCCATAATATAAGAGCATTTTTACAAATGCTCTTATATTATGGGACGGAGGGAGTATCTTGCATGCGCTTCATATGTTATAAATATATCTGCAATGTTTTCAATAATTTAGAGGTGTGTTCTACCTTTTTTTTATTTTGGATAGTAAAGTACATTTTTGTGTTTGTATTCGCAACCTTTCGAGCATGATTTAGTTATATATGTTCTTAAGTACGATAATACGGTATGTTTTTTGAAGTACTCTCTCCTTATACAAAGCCACGTACTGTTGTCTCAAGTCAAATTGATTTATTATTGACTATGTTTATAGAAAATTATTAATGCAATACTAAATAAATATCACTAGACTATCATGACATATATTTTCATAATGTACATTTATTAGGTTTTGTAGTATATGTTGCTATTTTTTGTATTTTTTTGGAAAAAAATATTATGAAAAGATTAAGTGCCTCATATACATCGACATAAGGATCACAATTGTTTCTGTGCCTAAGTTTTTTGCCACCGCAATGATTAGTGGGTGCATGCATGGTGAGAAATCCTATAGATTAACATGTCTATTTATTGTGAGGTTATCCATGAGTTCTTTTTGTTAATGCATTTTCTTAATTTTATCGTCACACTGAACCGATACAACCGCACACACGATAGTTTAACCTCGTTTCTGCATACAATCAAATACGCCCAGAACACCACACCACAATGAAAGATAGTCTGAAACAACAGAGAACAGGTGGAGAAGCACTGTTGAGAACCTAGTCTATCATCCATGCTAGAAAAAAATACCTCCTTGGCAACCCGCCCAAGGTATTCATATACCATGTCACCAATCTCGATGCTCTGGTTGAAGGAAAGACCTGGAGTAGAGCCACTGTGCGCAGTTGAGTGGCACTTGCATAAGAGAGAGAAATATATTTGGACCTATGAATCTTCTAAATTTACTTGAGTTGATTTTTATAACAACCCATGCAGAGTTAATAAACATATCCGAAGCCCCAGCTATTAGACGATATCTCAAATGAGCAAAGAGCACATGGGGAATTCATTATCTCATAAATAAACTAAAGGATAAGTGAAACATTGCGAGTTTTTGTCACACATATAAGGTTTAAAAATTGTATAATGAAGATTTTTCTTTTCCTAATTCTAGCTCATCCAAGTATGTAATAAACCCTAGTCACCTAAAACTGCACATAGTAGAGCCTAACCTTGTACTCTAAAAGTGTGCAGTTTCAGCAACAACAACAAAAAAAAACAAATTCTACATACAATGTAGGAGTGGTGATAAGAAGAGTTAAATATTGGTTTGCAAGCTTAAAAGAGGAATGATAATTTATAAAAGTGCAGAAGTTAAAATAGAAAATCACCAGATATAATAGCAATAGCACAAAATTTTGTGCTTTGCTGGGAAAATGGATATCCACATTTGTACACCTATGCACAAAAAAGAGCAAAGAACTAAGTACTACTCCGTTCCAAAATAAATGTCTTAATTTTAGTGTAATTTTGTACTAAAATAGTACAAAGTTGAGACATGTGTCTCTAAGTGTTTTATTATTATACTAATTTTAGTACAAAGTTATATTAGTTGTTCTATGTATTTTGAAAGAACAATAGTAAGTCTCTACAAAAGAAAATTAACAATAAGCGGTTTGGGATGTTTGCAGGGCAAAGTCACTGGGAATGGGCGTGGAGTGGCTCGAGGACGGTGGCGTGAAGACGATCCTGGGTCCCCGCACGCTGACCCACGTCTTCCCAGGGCACGAAGGCCGGAGGATGTGGTTCAACACGTTGGTCGGGATGCACGGCAAGGAGCTGAGCTCGGCCACGGCGGCTGACGGGGCCGAGATCCCGGCGAGCTTCGTGCAGCGGTGCGAGGAGATCATCGAGGAGGAGAGCATCCAGTTCCGTTGGCGCAAGGGCGACATCCTCATCCTCGACAACCTCGCCACGCTACACGGCCGGCGGCCGTCGCTGCCGCCTAGGCGGGTTCTCGTCGCAACTTGCAAGTGACGCGCTGATAAGTTCTTTTTATTTATTGATCAGAACTCCCACATATGCCATGTGGCGCATCCAAGAGTTTATCAGCGTATGACATCCCAATCGGTACAACACAATTTAACTGGGTCGCCTCATCCCATTCGTTGTCATTGACCGCAGGTACCTTGATCCGTGCTATCCGCGGTCGTGAACCGGATCAAGGAAATCAAATGTTCATTACACGATGAATATTTGTTAATACATTATGAAGTTTTTTAATACATGACATTTTTTAAACACACAAGAATATTTTTTAATACGCGATGAACAAAAAAAGGAGAGAAAACGAAAAGAAGCAAAAATTGAAAAAAGTAAAAATAGGAAAGGAAAACAATAAATTGAAAAAAGAAACCAAAAAGAAACGGGACAGAAAAACTACTCCACAAAACACTAGAAAAAAGAGACACAAAATCAGGAGAGAACCAGTAGGCATGTTGTAAAACCGGAAGAAAAATTTTCATGGATGTTCTTACTGGTCCATGGCCCCTTCACAAACACTATAGGCGAGCGCTAAGGGCATGTATATAGATTGATAAGAACAGAGTTATCTGAATTTAGAGATGACAAAAAACTACGATGTACCATTGGTTATCTCTCTAGTAACTAGATATTCCTAAAAATATGGTGAGAGATTTATTGCTAAGAGATCATCTATTATTTAAGAGAAGACAGGGTCTTTTTTTTGTGGTTTCTCTTTCATCCATCTCAGCATTTATGCTACGTGGCACTTCTAAGATAACACCATTGTACATGCCCTAAGGAGTGACATGATAAGTAATGTATAGCAACATCTGGAGAACTTATAGACAATCCACAACACATCGGATATTTTTTCAAGGAACATGCTCAACTTTATTATTAAAAAGATGCAAGTTTGCAGTAATTTACAGGATGATGGAGCTGAAGCAGTCACACGTGGCGCCCCTGGTAATGACAAAGCATGTTTGGCTATAGAATCGGCCTCAAAATTACATTCTCTACTCCAGTGAACAAAGGAGCAAGAAGCAAAACTATTCGAACTCAACATGATATGTCTTTGATGTTCTCATATTTACCACCAGCACCTCTATAAATGTCATCCACTACACTTTTGCAATCCAAAACAATCGTCAAGTTTTGAATGCCCAAATTAACAACTAAAGTGAGCACTATCACGCACCTCACACGCATACTTTGGGCCGGCCCAATGCGGGTTGGCGCCTTTTTTCTCGTTTCCTTTTTATTCCATTTCACACTTTTCCTATTTTCAAATATTTTTACTTTTCCCTTTTTATTTCTTTAACTAAGTTTTCAAAAAAAATGGAAAACAATCTTGACTTTAAAAATTATAGGAATTTTATAAAATGTCATGAAATTTTAAAAATATTTAGGAGTTTATTAAACTTTCGTGAATTTTGAAAAGGTTCAAGAACTTTAAACAGTGTTATGGAATTTATAAGATATTCATGAATAAAAAAAAGGTATTCACATATATTTTTGATTTTTTTAAAAAATTCAACAATTCTAGGAAATGATATTGGATTTTAAAAACATTCACCAATTTCAATTTTTTTGTAAAATTTTAAAAAATATTTCCGGATTTCAAGAAAAAATGTTTTCAAATAAAACATAATGAATTTGGTCTTTTAAAAGGATTTTCCGAAAACATTCATGAATTTTGAAAATGTTCCTGGATTTAAAAAAAGTTTCCATATTTCAAACAATCTGCCTGGATTTTTGAAACATATCCGCATTGAAAAAATGTTCACCTATTTGACGAATGTTCCTGGAGTTAAAATAAGATTGGAATTACATAAAATGTTTCCAAATTTAAAAACATGTTCACGACTTTAGAAAGTGGAACAGATAAAAAATTAGTAATAGAAAGGTAAGAATGAATGTGAAGACAGAATATAAAAAAATATGATGAAACAAAAAATAAAAATCGGAAAAAACCAGAAAAATCAAGTCTTGGGGAGCTAGATGGGCCGGCCCAAAGAAGCTACAGGTATCCACGCGATGCGCATTTGATCCTTATTACCCCTCAAAAGAAATTGATCCTTATTTCGCTCTTTAGGCGCGAAATAGGATCCGCCTAGCATTTCCAATTTAAATTGGAGTATTTCTACATGATGAGAGTATATTTTCACCCGAAGATCCATTTCGATCCCCGGTTGACGCGCCATAGTGACAATGGCCTTGCTGGCGGCGGGCCTGTTTTTCGGCTCACAAAGCCCTCATGGGCGATGCTGTTTTTTCGTCTTGAGGACGGCAAGTGCTGAGAATGGTGATTGCAGAAATTTGTTTCTATGGAGTTTACTTGCGAATGTTCCTGGAAATGTATCCTCTCTCCTTTTCCCTCGTGGGTTCCACGGTTTTGTGTGTTCCCACGGTTTCGTGTTACAAGTTAACATCAGTTTAATGGAATGCGGAATTTCTAAAACAAAAAAATGCGTGATCTGTGTGCCGTTAAGATGCACATGTGTGCAATCATTGCTGGCACAAAGAACTGGAACACCGCTGAAGAAAGGTACTGAGGGAGGGGTAGGATGCTTTCGCTGGCTGAATCAAATGGGTGGTAACAGGCGGGCTGCTCCTACTGGTTCTCACCAGAGCCCTTACGTGATGTCTGAGGAAGAATCGCATCTCTTCTACTGCCTCCTCTCAAGGCCCGAATGATTAGCAAACGCGTTTTGCCCTTTATGCTTTGAGTCCGCCAAGTAGCCATCTCTCTCTCCAATCCATGATATAGTAGGTGTAGGTTCGAGCGCTAGGATCTATGCCAAGAGTGCACCTGCCTCCCAGAATGGCTCCAGAGAACACAGAGCAAGCTCCCAGCCTACGGACCAAGCCAACTGAGGGGGTCGACTTCGAGCCGCATCCGGAGCTGCTCATGGCCGCGCGCCGCGGCGACTGGCGGCAGCTCGAGCGTCTCCTTGGCCAAAAAGACGACGCAGCAGCGGCGCCCCCGCCGGCGCCAGTGCGACCGGCACGTCATGATGTGATCGTCCACATCGAGGAAGCCGTTAATGTCGAATCGGCATCCACGGTGACCTCGGCCGACGCGGTCACCGTGGCGCGGGACTCCGTCCTCCACGTGGTCGCGTCTCGGGGAGACGCTCATGAGTTCCTGAAGAGCGCGACGGTGATCTACGACAGGGCCCGTCACCTGCTCGACGCCCGGAACGGCAACGGCGACACGCCCCTGCACTGCGCCGCCCGGGCAGGGTGGGGCGGGATGGTCGCTCATCTCGTGGGTCTCGCGAGAGGAGCCGAGAATGGCGGTGGCGGCGGCGACGACGAGAAGGTGAAGGCGATGCTGAGGATGCAGAACGAGCAGGGAGAGACGGTGCTACACGAGGCGGTCCGTTTGGGCAGCGGAGACATGGTCGGCCGGCTGATGTCGGAGGACCCCCATCTAGCTCGAGTTCCGCCGGCCGATGGCGCCTCGCCGCTGTACTTGGCTGTCTCGCTGGAACACGACGACATTGCACGGCAGCTCTATCAGAACGACAAAGGGTTGTCATACTCTGGACCAGACGGGCGAAATGCCTTGCATGTAGCCGCTCTCAAGGGCAAAGGTGAGGCCTTTTCCCCCATCTTTCTTTTTTTGCCGGGGGCATTTTCCCCATCTTTTACAATTTTATTCAATGCCACTGGATCACAACACGTTCTTTGTGGTTTTTTAATATAAATAATGTTTTATTAACTCGTAATGTAGCATAAGAGAACACATAGCATGATGAATATACATTCGATCTCTGAATAATTAGAATGCACACAATTCTTCATAAAAAAATGTACACAACGTAAAAATAGATATCGAAGATGGCATCAAAATAGTACGTGCAAGTTTTGAGAGAGAGAGAGAGAGAGAGGGAGAGAGAGAGAGAGACTGTCATTGTGTTGTCTCCGCGGCAAGAAAATTCATTGTGTTGTCTCCGCGGCAAGCAAGTTCATTGTTATGCCTGTTTTAGTGAGTGAAGTTATGGGTTTTAACATTCCCTCGGTGACATCCTTCACTTCCACTCTTTCTTCTATGCTACTCAGGGTCAGTTTTGAAAATTTAAGAGATCCAAACATTATCCATCTGAACATTGACCTTTCATTTCAAGAAACTGAATTCTTCCAAATCTATATTTTGAGTTTGTATCTTATAGTTTGAATTTGTATACTTCTTGAATCTTAAAATTCAAAATAAAATTTGAGAAGTTTAAATTGTAAACATTAATTCTAATAATTTAAATTTTCAACTACATATTCTAAAACTCTAAATCTTATAATTTCTTGAATCTCCAAGTCCTAATGCTAAAAGTCCAACTTTTAAAAATTTAAAGTATCACCATTTTATATCAAAATTATGTAAATAATTGAAGAGTCCACCACACACAATAAAGGGAAAATTTTGTTTTTGCCACTCTAACTTTTGCCCACTTTACTTATGCCACTCTAGAATTTGAAATTTCACATTTGCCACTCTTGGCTTTTGACAATATATCACTTTTACCATTCCGTGGCAAAAGCAAAATTTTCGGAGTGGCAAAAGCGAAATGAAAAATTATCATTTTTGCCACGGAATGGCATTTGTGATGTATTGTCAAAAGCTAAGAGCGGCAAAAGTGAGATGCCAAATTCTAGAGTGGCATAATCAAAGTGAGCAAAAACTAAAGTGGCAAAAACAAAGTTTTCCCCACAATAAACACTGCCGCTACATAATTTGTGTATGAAACCGACAATGAAAGTTTGCAAGCCAAGGTTAAACCAAACTTCGATTGTCACAGACTATTGGGAAATCACCACATGATTGGGCAAAAGCCTGATTTTTTTGTTATTTCTTATCAACTATTGCTCTTCCTTTTTTTTAGAACACTATCACTCTTCTTCGCGTTATAGCAATTAGCAAAGACCATGAGGCGAAGTCAATTGGTGCACATAGCTAAGATAGCTTTGAAATATAAGAAAAGTTGTTTGTGTGCCAACATAGTTTCGGCAAAAGCCAAACATATCAACATATCACACTAGCGATAAGCCCCTCATTACGATTTATGCTATAGTTAGCCATTTCAGCCTTGACAATGGGCGTGGCTATACCTCGCCTACTGCGAGAGGTACTGCTGCGTCACCTGAGGAACGCCCCTAGTGCACCGGCCCAGTAGTAGGTTTGTTCTTTTTCTTCACTTGATTTATTTCTCTCGTTTTTTATTTTACGTTTGTTTATATTTTCAAAATATTCTAATAAAAATATTTCAGAAACAATTACTTAAGTTTTGAACAAAAATATGCAGTGTTACAAAATATTCGTGCAACTTTTTGAAAATGTTGGTAGAATTTAAAAAAAATGTTTGTGACGTTCAAAAAGTGTTCACAAACTACAGAAAAATATTTGTGACATATAAAAAGGTTATAAAATTGAATAAATTCATGTATAATTCAACAAAATATTTCATACCATCCAAAAAATGCAGGTGAATTTCTATTTAAAAATCACGTGTTTCAAAAAATATGTTCCTAACATTTAAAAATATATTTGTACAAAATACAAACAATTTTTACGTAGTATAAAAATAAGTTTCATACCATTCAAAAAATGATGTAATATTTTAAATATATGTTCATGTACTTGTTTAAAATGTTCCTGACTTTTTATGAAAAACTCCCTCCATCTCATAAGATAAGATCATTTTGCAAAGTAGTTTGCAAAACGATCTTGTATTATGGGACGAAGGGAGTATCTTCATACCAATGCAAAAAAAAATGTTTGTGTAGTTTTAGAAAATTATTGCAATTAAAAAATGTTCAAGCTGTATTTGAAAAATGTTCAAACCATGTATTTAAGAAATATGTGCATTGTGTATTTGAAAAATGTTCACTGTGTATAAAAAAAATGATTGACGTATACACTGAAAATGTACATTGTGTATTGAAATAAGTAGGCATGTGTCGAGAAAGAGAAACAAAGAAAAATAAAAATAAAAAACTAGAGAAATCAAAGAAAACCAGTGAAAAAACGTTGACAAACAAAAAAAACAAAGAAAATCCGGTGAAGAAAGGAAGAAAAACAGAAGAATCTAAGAAAACTGAAGACGAAACAAAGAAAAACAAAAGAAATTGAAGAAAAACCAGTCAAAACTGAAGGAAAAACCAACAACGATCGAGCAAAGCGAACACGGTAGAATGGGCTGATCTAGAAACCAACGCCATGAAAATACTTTAGGTGAGATGTAATATATCTCAGTATGGGCAACACATAGCCTAACGACTACAATTCAAACCTTTTTTCAATAGTAGTGGACCGATAACTTTATATCAAGCTGATATAGGTACATGCACCCTAGGACAACACAATGTCAACCAATGTGTAAACATATTGCCTACTCTTAGCATTGCAATTCCATTAAGAGCTAGCAATTGCAGAGACAATAAAAATGCTACTGGAATGGAACAAGGATCTCATCAGACAAGCAGACAGATCCAGTAGAAGCACACCTCTCCACTTTGCGGCATCATGGGGGGAGCATGAGGTGATCAGCTTGCTCTTGGATGCTGACCAATCCGCGGCGTATCAGCCAGACATCGACAGATCGTTTCCCATACACGTGGCGGCGTACGCGAACAAAGTCAAGGCAGTCTCTGTCTTGCTCGACGGCCGCCGGGACTGCGCCGAGCTACGTGACGCCAATGGCAGGACCTTCCTCCATGTGGCCGTCCTTGAGGAGAGCCAGTCTGTGGTGACATACGCCTCCAACCTGCAGAGCAAGAAATTTGCATCGTCGGTGATGAACATGCAGGACAAGGACGGCAACACCGCGCTGCATCTTGCGATCCAGATGGGGAACATGTGGATCTTCAGTCCTCTAATGAAGAACCATGAAGTTAAGCTGAATCTGAGAAACAACAAGGGACAAACGCCACTTGATCTCTCGTGGATCACGACACCTGCAGGGGTTCATTACGGATTGGTAAGCAATTGTTTGTTGGTCGGTTCATGCATATAGCTCCACTGACTTGCACTAAGAGAATGATTTATTTTGTGTTCTTCCAATGTATTTTTTGCAGAACCCAAGAATTATGATACATAGGTTGCTTCAAGATGCTGGCGCAAAGAATGGCACATTTAGATGTGATCACTTCCACAAAGAACATATTGTTTTGCTAGACCCGAAGGAAGAAGCGCAGAAGATAACCGACTCCACACAGACCATAGGCATCGGCTCTGTGCTGATCGCGACGGTGGCCTTCACCGCAGCCTTCGCCCTACCCGGTGGCTACCGAGCGGATGACCATCCGAATGGCGGCACACCGACGCTGGCCAGGCACTATGCGTTCGACGTGTTCATCATCGCCAACACGCTAGCCTTCATCTGCGCGTGCCTATCCATCACCAGCCTCATGTACGCGGGGGTCACCACCGTGGACATCCGCACCCGCATGATCTCCTTCGTTATCTCGGTCACGTTCATGGCCGGCTCGGCTAGGAGCCTCGGCGCTGCCTTTGTGTTCGGGCTGTATGTGGTGCTGGCCACGGTCGCGCGCACAACGGCCATCGCTTCATGCGCGATCACAGCTCTCGCATTGGTCGACGCCGTGTGGGCCTTCTCGATGGTGGCCAATGGGGAGCTGATGCTGCTAAAGAGGCTTGGAGTTCGGGCATGGTGGAGGCTTCCATGGGCGATTCTACTGACCTTTCTGTCGCAGTTTTGGCCTTACATTGTGATCGCCGGCGTGCTAATATTTTACAAGGTTGATAGAGTTCATTGACTTGTAATGACATTGTGGGACTGCTCGTAACGCATTTAAATTGCTCAAGTACTTTGTTTTGTGTGACGAAGAGGAGGGAGAAGGAGATTAACATGTGAATTCAAATCTTGGTGATTGCGCTATGTGAAATATGAAAGAGAAAAATATTCTTTATTCCAAATTTGTGATTCTTCATATAAGTGGACGTCTCTAGCCGAATCCCTAAAATTTGCTGGTCGATCAGATGTGAAACATCTGCCGCATCGTCCGCACGCCATGCCCCCTGATTGAACCATTTGCAACATTGCCCCTATTGCAAGACGCGTGAGCACAACACGAACCACAACCGCCGCTAACCTTTCTGAAGGCACCGTTGCATTACCGCATCCCTCCCATGTGGATTTCTGTAGCTCATGGGGAAACCCTTGATCTTGTGTGATCGGAAGATGGCAGCGCCTTGGTGTCGTATTCCCCCCGGGGACTTCGTCTTAGGAGCTGGGCACCGGGGAGCGGGACCAGTGGAAGGCGGCGATGTTGGCGTCGGGACTTCTGTGGCAATGATGATGGGGGAGCAATGTCGGAGACGCAACTATGGTATAGGTAGTCGCTCTTCTCCGGCATGTCTGCGGGATTGCCTCAGATGATTTGTTGTTGTGAAGTCAAAGCTGCAGTGACGGGGTCCCGATGGCGTGCGATGACGAGCAGCAGGTGGTTCGTTTGATGATCTCCTGTGGCACTAGTTGTGCCTTGTTCCCCTTCGTAGTTCTCTATCAGAGTCGGAGCTGCACCATCTAGTCGCAGGTGGCTGAGTTCTGGCGCGGATTTTCATACATTTTCACGCGGGGTCTACAGTATGGGTTGAGTCATATGGTGAATCCTGGGTCATTTTCTCAGGGATTAGGGATGGCAATGACGCCTGTAGGGGAGAAATGATGACGATGGCGCCTGCATGGTGTCTCGGTGAGACCCTCTTCGGAGTGATGTGTGTGGACTATATTATGTGTACCACTCAGTGATTGTGATGGTATTTCGTCCGGTTTTTCATAATTAACCGGGCAACCTGGTTTTCACTTATTTTGTAATTAACCGAGCAATTCTTTTCTTCTTAATGAATGTAGGAATCCTGCCATTTTGGAAGAAAAAAAACAAGACTTAGATGCTTTGGAGGCTTTGACAACAACCTTTCACATTTCATGATGTCACCAGCTCCATGTCGTCGACAACTTGTTGTAGAATAAGAGTAGTTTTTGTTTGCAGGGTTAGAATAAGAGTACTTAGGTTCACCAGATCAACACCGAGAGAGATGTACCATAGAAAACGCAATTTACATTTTATACCTACTAGAAACATATATAAGACCTCTAGTGTCGAGTATAGCAGCCCATGTGCTGCCCTACATGCCATCTCGATAGCAGGTCTGTATAACGTTAAGTTAGTGAAGAAGTCAACGACTTTATGCATTAACTGGTTTAATTTACTCCTCAACTATGTTTGAAAAGAGGCCCCTAGCAGCTTGAGTTTTGGGGTACATAGTTACACAGTGCATCCGGTTCAAAAACTTTATAATAATCGTGAACAACTTTTATAATAGGATGAGGCAAGAAGATTGATACACCGGTGCATCCGCTGCAAGGATGTGCAAGGCTGTACTCGGTCAACGTCCATCCCTGCAACCTACTACTCTGGCATGTTTGATAAAATTATGTGTTAGTTGAGTATTTGTTTTAGGAATTTTAGTTGAGGATATTAATATGTTTGGATTTCAATTTCATGTGACTTTGATGTGGGCGTGTCCTCTGTACAACACCGTTTTCTTTGGCAAATGGTAGCGGAAACACAAAGTGACATCGGCTAGGTGGTGCTTTTTGAGTTTCGGGTCTCAAGCTCGAAGGTGAAAATTCTTAAGTTTGACCTTCGTTGGCTGCATCTTGCAATGGCTGTGTGTACGTGCCGTGTCCTTGATGAAGGCATTGCTTTGGAGCTTGCTCAGACATGCTCTCTGAGGCGAAAACTTAAGATCCAACCATCAATGGTTTGATTCGACAATGACGGCGCTTGCACGTGGTTTTCTTTGTAGAGGCGTTGCTTTTGAAGAAAGTTTCTTGTTATGTTGTCAAGGAAGATGGATGATGGTGTTGTTTCTTTGTGCGCTTGGTTGGTCGTGTCACCTTTTCTTTTTACATTATTCTTACTTTTATCTTTTTAGCTGTGTACATCTTCTGTATCTTGACTCGCTCTTGATATTATATTATTGCAATCAATAATATTATGTTACTGTGAAGGCCGGATGTAATTAGTATAAACTTAATATTAATATTTTATGCTTTGTCAAAAAATATGATTGATTGATAACTTGCAGCACTTCAAACTTGGAAGTCAAATGTTCATTGTCGCTTACATGTCACAATCATTTGACGGGTTGTTTTGACTATACCATGGATATTTTATGAAGGTGACCTAAAATGTGAAGCGGACTGAGCAAGAGGTTTAGCAAATTCAATGCGATAAGAAAAGGACGTAAGGTGTGCGCCAATGTTTCATATATAGATATAAAAGAAAAATGTGTTTCGGTTCATGTGGAAATGTCTAACCTCTTGATGAGCAAGTGACAGATATGTCCTATGCTATGCAAACTAAATGCATATTAAAATTCAGTTTTGCTAAAGCACATCTAGATGTGCTCTAAATATTGCACATCTAAATCATATATATATATATATATATATATATATATATATATATATATATATATCATTGATTTTACGCTAAAATTCATGCAAGCATTTTTAATCTTTTTTTATTTTTAGTTTGATTGAGTCATTTAGATATGCAATAATTAGGGCACATCTAAGGCACATCTAGATGTGCCGTAAACATACCTTATTAAATTATGCATGACTTATTGGTTCCTTCAAAATCCTTCAAAATAATTGTATGCCCTATTATTATTGGCGACACAGGTCCACACATCCCCGCCGGAGACACAGCTCCATATTCCCCCGCCAGTGATAAGCACAACAATAGAAGGGGGAAAGAGTGGGGAGAATATTATTCCTACACTGGAACAACACCACCGCTTTGCCGGCCCAAACCAAACTTGAAAACTCCCTAAAGAATACCTAAAAAATGTCACCCATGACGTTGTACGACTAGTCCGGGCCTAATGTCGAGCTGGATGCGAACATAACCATGCATTGACTCCCTCAGACTGGGTCCCCATTGAAGATCGTTGCGCTGGATCGCAAACGCCACTGTGGAGCACTGCCCGAGGAAGACTGCAACTCGAACACACATCTCCTTCACCATCCCGCAGCAGCCCTCCAACTCCTCCACAAGCAGGTTGCCCCCATCAGGACCTCCCCGATGACGCCGGCGCCACACGGGCTTTACCCAGCGACCCGCCCCGACAGCAACGACGAAGGGAGTAGATGGGGCCATGGCTAGGGTTTTGGTCGTCTGCCTGGTCCTCTATCTCCACGAAAAGGTGAGCGTCAGTTAGCACTGCTGCTGTATATTACGTACTTCCTCCAAGCTTTTTTGGACGGAGGGAATACTAGTTTGTACTCCCTCCGTTTTTATTTAGTCCGCATATTAGCTTTGGTCAAAGTCAAGCTTTGTAAGTTTTGACTAAGTTTATAAACAAAAATATTAATATATACAATAAAAAATCAATTTCACTAGATTCATTATTGAATGTACTTTCACATCATATAGATTTGCTATGGTAAATGTTTATATATTTTTCTATAAAGTTGGTCAAACTTTGCAAAGTTTGACTTCGGTCAAACCTAATATGCAGACTAAATAAAAACAGAGGGAGTACTATTTTGGGTGATCACTGGACTACTGCACTATTTCCATAATACAGCTCTCTACATGCTTAGATTAATTGGTATCTTCAAGATGACAAAAGATGTTCCATGTGTCCCCCCAAATCCCATTTAATTTCCATGACTTTCCTTGGAAGCTGATGCGATAGCTTTGTGTTTCCAACGTCCGAATATATTCTACCCATAATATACAAACGACTAGTCTCTCATTTTTATTTATGGAGTGGCCATCAGTGAGATGCAGCCATTCTAAACAAACTGAGAACAGAAGATTGATGCCTTACATCATATCTTTACTCTCACTTCTTTGGTATACTTGGTTTATGGATATCTAACCCAGCTCCATGATTGAGCAGTCGTTGACCAAAGTTTATATTTGCTATCCCCTATAAATTGTGCTTTCTGCTAACCATCAATCACACACGCAGAAAAACTCTCTGACTAGAGCGCGTTGCATCCGCATCCTCTACTGCGATGGCTTTTGCTTCTTCCTCTACGGAATCCCATGTCCTCCCTCACATAGCAATCTTCCCCTTCATGGCCAGGGGCCACACCATCCCGCTCATCCAGCTTGTCCACCACCTCCGTCGTCGCCGCCTCGCCACCGTCACCTTCTTCACAACCCATGGCAACGCGGCCTTCGTCCGCGAGGGACTGTCCGGGGCCGACGAGACGGCCATCGTCGAGCTCGCGTTCCCCGCCGACGTTTCGGGCATCCCACCGGGCGTGGAGAGCGCCGAGGCGGTCACGTCCATGGCCTCCTTTGTCGCCTTCGCACACGGCGTGTCGCTGCTCCAGCCACAGCTCGAGGCGTCGCTCTCCGCCATGGAACCTCCGGCCAGCCTCCTCATCGCCGACGCGTTCCTGTACTGGACGAACGCGTCGGCGGCCACGCTCGGCGTCCCGAAGGTGTCGTTCTTCGGCATCTCTGCGTTCGCACAGGTCATGCGGGAGCTACGCATCAGCCACGATCCGTTCCCGGCGCTGCAGCACGCCGACGTCGACGGCGACGGCAATCCGGCGACGTTCGCGGTGCCTGAGTTCCCGCACATCAAGCTCACGTTGGAGGACTTGATGGCGCCCTTCGGCGACCCGTCGTCGGTCGCGCCGATGATGGAGCTGGACGGCAAGCTGGGGAAGGCCATAGAGGAGAGCCATGGCCTGATCGTCAACACCTTCCAAGGCCTAGAGAAACCGTACATGGAGTTCTGGAACAAGCACTACAGGCCCACGGCCTGGGCCATCGGCCGCTCTGCCTCTCCCAGCCCCCGTCTTCTTTATCGGGCGACGCCGGCCGGCCATCATGGATGGAGTGGCTGGACGAGAAGGCAGCCGCCGGCCGGGCCGTGCTGTACGTGGCGCTCGGGACGCTGGCCGCGATCCCGGAGGTGCAGCTGAAGGAAGTTGCAGACGGGCTGGAGCGGGCCGAGGTAGATTTCATATGGGCCGTGAGGCCCGAGAATATCGATCTTGGTGCAGGGTTCGAGGAGCGTACCAAGGGCAGAGGCTTGGTGGTGAGAGAGTAGGTGGATCAATTGGGGATTTTGCAGCACCAGAGCATGAGAGGGTTTCTGAGTCACTGCGGGTGGAACTCGGTGCTGGAGAGCGTCACAGCTGCTGTGCCGCTGGCAGTTTGGCCTATGCATGCTGATCAACCTTTGAACGCAACATTTGTAGTTGATGAGCTCAAGATAGCGGTTAGGGTCCACACGAGTGATAGAACGATGCGGGGTTTGGCCACGAGCGAGGAAATATCAGAGGTGGTCAGGAAGCTTATGCTCGGGCAGGCCGGAATTGAAGCGGCAAAGAATGTTGCCGGGCTATCGGCGCTAGCTATGGAGTCCGTGTTGGAGGGAGGGTCCTCTTGGAAATCAGTGGAGGAGATGATCGGTGAGTTGTGTGCACCCAACATGCATGCAAATGTTGAGCCAAGCAAGGAGGAGTCTTGAGATGTTTAATTGTCATCGTTTTTTCTTTCCAACAAATAATGTGGTGTTGTGCTCTGTAGCTCTACCAAACATTTATGTTGGTCACTGGCATTTGCTTCTCATGTCTTGGATGAAAATATTTATATTTCAGGATAGTCCCCAAAACAGAATTAAATGGTCCCAAATATTTATATGAAATTGAAAGTTTCCCAAGACCAAACTGGGTAGAGAAATAACCAATCTTAGGGCCAGTTCTTTTGACGGTTTAAAAAATAAGCCGCCTCCTCCCCAACATTTTTCATAAGCTGTCTCCCTCATTCATTGGGGCTTCTGAACTAGTTATGGGATAACTAATACGGAAGAAAGAATTGCACTCCGGATAGCAAGATGATGAAAGCTTGAGTTTCTTAGAAAAGAATCTCGATGAACACTTTGAGAATGAATTAATTCCTTGATGAAACACCATGTCGAACCTTCATGAAGAACTCCGGTAAACGAAAATGAAGAGAAGTTGGAAACACAAGGTGAAAACTTGCAATGATTAGATGGCTCTTCACGTTGAAACAAATTGAGATAGCTTGGAACTCTGGAAAAGAAAAGATGAAACAATTGAAACCGAGAATTTGGTGAGCCTCCGGAATAAGGAATTGAATTTAGTCGATGAAACAAGAATAATAATTACATTATGCGTATCCTTCAACAATTTAATTGCTGACAAACAACGGATTTGGCATACTACTTATTCCCGTAGCAAGGATTAAGAGAGATATAGCATAAACTTGGGAAGGTCTTCAAGAAATCACCGGTCGGGATTGAAAAGAACGAATGAATTGATACGGAAGAGAGATCTTGAACGAACCACCGTAAGAATTAAAAATGAACAAAGAAAAGATAAGGAAGACACCGGGAAGAATTTAGCAAATGAACGAAGATGCTTGAGAGAATTTAGTTACATGAGAACGAAGAGATCAAGAACTGATTAGAGGATAATTGATCGGTGCACCGGTAAGATTAGGAGAATGATAACTGAAAGCTGGGAAAAAAATAATTATGAGATGATGGGCTCCGGAGAATCAAACTGAAAATACTCTGAATTACTCCGGATGGTTGAAAAGAATATCTCACAATCGCAAATAATTATGAGAGGATGGCAACAAGCTAGAATCACGAATCTTGAAGAGAATGGAGCAAGATTGAGAGAAAAATCTTCTTCGGTCTTCCAATCTGAGAATGACGATGAGAAACACCACCATGAATTATTGAGGTACTCCGGAATTAGAATTGGAAAGGTTGAACCAACGATGAAAAGAATTTTGAAAGATCTTGGAGAAAGACATTTGACTGATGAAAAATTCATTCTTACATCAAACTTGGAAAAAGAATTTGAGAGTAACACCGGGAAAAGAGAAGAGTCTGGTAAGATCCTGGGAAAAGACCCGTGGGTTAGGGCCCACTCAAAAGATACACCGTTGAACAATTTAAAAGAGAGAAAACCTCGGTTGAATTAAAAGACTTGAATGAGATAAACATTCTCAAAATAGGATTAACGGATCTTGAATGACAAGACGATCCTTCTGAGATATCTTCAGCACTCCGGAACAATTGAACAACAAGAGGTGAATGATTAAGGATTGCACCGGCATGAGAAAACATTGAAATGAGGAAAAGATATGATCAACAAAGCTTGACTTGAAACCACCGGAGAAGAAAAAGAACGAAGAACGATGAACTTGAAGCTCCCTTAGCATCTTCGTGAGAATCACCGGATAAGAACATTGACGGAAAAGAATGGAAAGACTTCACATCAATAAGATGGATACTTGATTAAGAAATCTGAATCCTTGAAGGAAAATGGTGGGTGGGCGGGAAAAACAAAGGCAACTTGGAGATGGATGAAACAAATAGCGTTGAGAAGAACTGATACTTGATCTTGCGGATGTTGAAATGATCGGATCCACTTGAAGAGAAACACGCCGGTTGAAAAGAAATTCAAATGACAAACTCGATGATCGAGAAGGATTAGTATTCACATCGGAGTATGAGAACACCATTTGGGGAAGGTATGGAATCAACACTTGACATTGAAGCAACTTGAATACCACAACTCAAAACAAAACAAAGGATTGGCTTGCGGAATAAGCCGAAACAAACATATGATAGAGATTTCGTCCGAAGTTTTCGTGGTGGGGCCTACACGGGCTCGATCGTACAACACCATCATGTACAAGGCAGTGCACATGACATACGAAGCGTCCCCGAGTCGGCATAGCCAAGGACTCTTTAAGACACAACGAGACCACTGTAAAACCAACCGTGAATAGGCGGACTACTAGACGTCGAACCCCAATTTCATATCATACATCTGTCGGAAAGATATCCTAAGAGCTACTTGAATTCCCACTTATAAACTCCCGAAACTTTCCGGTTATGCAATCAGGTGTTGGGGATACAGGGGAAGCATAATATCTCACCCGAAACTAACAAATCCTACATCCAGCTGTATCCATCCTTCAACACATAACCAAGAAACCTTCGGAAATCATCTACCTCAACCTTCGAAAAGCATCCGTTATACAAGTTATGGCAATACTCCCGAACTCCCGCCCCAGTACTGGGTGGCGTCGAGGTTATCTCACCAACGAACTGCATAAAAGAGATTTTTGATGTCGGCGTACTAAACTCAGGTATTCCAGAACTACAACGATAAAATTATGACGACAACACCTCGGAGCTCAACTCCCCGGGACACTTCCACAAAACCCCTGACAGGAGGCACCAAGACAATGTTCTCATCACAAAACCATCGGAACGATTCCAAGATACCCGCGTGAACCTAAATTTTTAGTGAAATTTGAGAAGAGAAGAGTCAAAACTCTATGTCAAGATGCCTTACCAGAGCGATGAGGAGACTGGGGAGTAAAAAGAATTCCTAAACTCTCCGATATATAATTCCTAAATGACTCAAAACATTTTTCTAGACACAACTCGGCCGCTAAAAACGATCAAGCAATGGGGCTCCTAAGGTCGGGGAAGGCTCTGATACCAACTTGTAACGCCCTCGATGCGGCTATATCTCCCACGTGTCGAAGCACGACTTAGAGGCATAACCGCATTAAAAGCAATGTCGCAAGTGAGGTAATCTTCACACAACCCATGTAATAAAATAGGGGAAGAAGTTACATAGTTGGCTTACAATCGCCACTTCACACAATTACATGAATAAAGCATTACATCATCCAAATACAATCAAGGTCCGACTACGAAACCAAAATAAAAGAAGAACCCCAAATGCGACAAGGTCCCCGAACGACCCCAACTGGGCTCCACTACCGATCAACTAGAACGAAACACCACAAAGGACAAGATCTTCATCGAGCTCCTCCTGAGCTTGGTTGCGTCAACTGCACGGTCTCATCGGCACCTGCAAGCTGGTTTTTGGAAGTATCTGTGAGCCACGGGGACTCAGCAATCTCGCACTCTCGCGATCAAGACTATTTAAGCTTATGGGTAAGGTAAAGGTATGAGGTGGAGCTGCAGCAAGCGACTAGCATATATGGTGGCTAACCTGTTCGCAAAAGAGAGCGAGAAGAGAAGGCAAAGCACGGTCGATAAAAATATGATCAAGAAGTGATCCTAGAACAACCTACGTCAAGCATAACTCCAACACCGTGTTCACTTCTCGGACTCCGCCGGAAAGAGACCATCACGGTTACACACGCGGTTGACTCATTTTAATTAAGTTAAGGTTCAAGTTATCTACAACCGGACGTTAACAAATTCCCATCTGCCCATAACCGCGGGCACGGCTTTCGAAAGTTCAAATCCCTGCAGGGGTGTCCCAACTTAGCCCATCACAAGCTCTCACGGTCAACGAAGGAATAGACCTCCTCCCGAGACATTCCGATCAGACTCGGTATCCCGGTACTCCAAGACATCCTCGACAATGGTAAAACAAGTCCAGCAAGACCACCCGATGCGCCGACATCCCGATAGGAGCTGCACATATCTCGTTCTCAGGGCAACACCGGATAAGCAATTCGTACAACTAAAACCAGCCCTCGAGTTTCCCCGAGGTGGCGCTGCAAGGGGCTCTAGTTTGGACCAACACTTAGACAAGCACTGGCCCGGGGGGGAGGGTTAAAATAAAGATGACCCTTGGGCTGGCTTAACCCAAGGGAAAAAAAGGCTAGGTGGCAAATGGTAAATCCAATGTTGGGCCTTGCTGGAGGAGTTTTATTCAAAGCAAACTGTCAAGGGGTTCCCATTATAACCCAACCGCGTAAGGAACGCAAAATCCGGGAACATAACACCGATATGATGGAAACTAGGGCGGCAAGAGTGGAACAAAACACTAGGCATAAGGCCGAGCCTTCCACCCTTTACCAAGTATATAGATGCATTAATTAAATAAGAGATATTGTGATATCCCAACAAGTAAACATGTTCCAACAAGGAACAACATCTCCATGTTCCAACAAGGAACAAGCTTCAATCTTTACCTGCAACTAACAACGCTATAAGAGGGGCTGAGCAAAGCGGTAACATAGCCAAACAACGGTTTGCTAGGACAAGGTGGGTTAGAGGCTTGGTTCAACAATATGGGAGGCATGATAAGCAAGTGGTAGGTATCGCAGCATAGGCATAGCAAAAGAGCGAGCAACTAGCAAGCAAAGATAGAAGTGATTTCGAGGGTATGGTCATCTTGCCTGAAATCCCGCAAGGAAGAAGAACAAGTCCCTGAAGAAGACAAACGGACGTAGTCGAACGGTTCCTCACAAACGCGACGTTATCGGAACTAGCCCGAAGAAGCAACACCGGAAAGGAGCAAACAACATAGTAAACAACCACCACATAAGCATGACACGATGCGCAAACAAGTATGATGCATGTCCGGTTTAATGAGGCATGGCATGGCAAAGTGCACAAACAGCCCTACAAATTAAGTGGAGCTCAATATGCAACTCCGTTGCACATTGACGAAACACCACATACAAGTTATTTAGTTCGATCTCGTTTATGTA